ATTTAATAAAATTAATATTTTTTAACACATTTTTATTAATCTTATCTAATTTAGTCATAACTATGCCCAGAATATCCCGTCGGCAGATCCGAATCTTGTCCTCAAAAACACAGATAATTTTGATATGGCAGTCCAACTGAAACGACTCTCGTGTCCATAAATTCGGTTTCCCATTTTGTCCTTTTATTGACTTTTCTTTCCCCCCTTCACACTTGGTAAGGAAACGAAACTGGAATATTTGCTTTAAAATTTATTTTTTTTAATTTTTGTTATAAATAGAATATTTTATTTTTTTCTAGGTGAGTTGATTTTGGATATTCCAAATGCTGTGGAATTATACCATGCGTCATAACTGCCCAAAGGCCCCACTACTCCATCGGCTCGGCTTCTTAGCTTCACTATTGGAGCGGTGGAGCCTTCGTTCTACTAATTTCTTCCCCAAGGCTGAGAGTGGCCGAGCCGATACTCATTTTATTTTTCGAGGGTAAATGGAAATTTCATGGTAAAAGTACCCCACATGGTCTGATATCTCTAAAATTAAAGGAAATTTTTAAATGTTTAAAACTTATTTGGTGAAATTTTTTGAAAATTTTATTTTTTTAATATTATTTATGAGTATTTAAATTTTTATTAAAAAAATTTAAATTTTATTTTTAAAAATAATAAAAAGTAAATAAAAAATAAGTAAAAAAATTTATAAAAAATTTAAATTTAAAATTTTTTAAAATTTACTATTTAAAATCTTTTTAAAATTAAAAAAATTCAAAATATAAGATTTTTTAAAAAAATTTAAGTTTATAAAATATAAATAATATCAAAAAATTAAAACAATTACAAATTTTACCAAACATATTCTAAAGCTGTCTTCAAGAAAAGAAAAAAGAAACTAGCAGCTGCACTAAACTAGCACTTGAAAATTTAGTTAAATTTGTCTCTTCATCCGTAAGTTATATAGAATATATTTAATTTATTTAATTTTGTTTGATTTTTACAATATCTCACTTTAGATTATTTTTTTTGTTATTTAAGGTATAGGGATTTAAGCTCTCATATTAATTTAGATATATTACAATTTAGTTACTTATTTACGTCTTAAAATTATTGTATTATAAGGTTTTCAAGAGAACTTATCTATCTAATAATATAATTCATATTTTAAGCCTTAAATTTTGGTTATCTCGAATTCCCAACTTATCAATAGTTCCT